ACTTATTTTTTAAGCATATACTTGACAGCAATCTATATCAAATATAATGTTTGTTAGAGAAATCCTGCCTCTCCCATGAGTGTAATTATCAAGCACTGGTCAAGAAGAATTTTGATAACAGAAAATTGCATGTCAAATTAGAGAGAAATTAATGAGTTTTGAGTGTGAGGATCGAACTGATAGAAAATCAGTGTTATCAATATCCCTTGGGTATTGGGCAGATGGGTAAGCCTGTTGGATTAAAAATAGCTCTTTTTGGCTAGCCTAAGTTTTAAAATGAATTTGATGAAAAGTAATTAAAACTAATTTGATATTGCATAATGGACTTATCTGATATTATATAATATTATTAATTAAAAAACTAATTTTAAGGGGTGGGGTGGAATCAGCATGTCCATATGAATTCCATATTAAAACCTGTCGGACATTAAATCTCAACCAAAAAAAATCGTTGAATATTTTATATGTTAAAAAAAATTATGGTAAATAGTGCAGACCCATTCATCTCTTGGTAGTAATGAGTAGACAAGCATCCAGTTAAAGATTAATTAATGAGTTCAAAGTAGGAAGGCTAGCTGATCAAGCGGCTTATCTGTATCCTTTGGGGATTAGACAGAAGACGTGCTGGTCAGTTTATAGCATATGTCATTTGATGGCCAGGCCTTTTCTTTTCAAAATTAATTTGGTATTGATTAAGATGTTAAGACTAATTTCATATTGTTTAATATGATAGGCATTTGACAAGGTCTAACACAACCAGCATAGAAATCTATTAATAATGTCACAGTGATATTTATTTTAATTAATGCCTAGATCACAGGAAATGGATAAATATTTAAAGGAATGGAAAAATCATGGAAATCTTGGAATCAAGGTTGACGTGATTCTCTTGCACACTAAACTGTTCAAGAAAATTGTAATTTTTTTGACGGGCGTATCATGCTGTGGCGCGGCACTTTATTTTATTTCTATTTAGGCAATCAGCCATTTCTTTTTTGATTCAATGATATAAAGTTTCCAGTCAGCCGATGAAAAATATCGACAATCATTACTTTTAGCTCTTTAATATAGTTTTTACCATATAGTTTTCCAAAGAAACAGATTCTTTCAAAGTTGAAAACACAGATAGACATGCTAACCAACTCGAAAATTTGCTTACCTTGTCAATGATCGTTTTCAAAATTATTTTGTAAAAAAAAATCGTTGTGATTGTTCACACAAGTACGCTAAAATTCACATCAATAAGGATGCGTTAGTTTCTGATTGACAATATCTATGTGTTTTTTGGCGACCAGGCCTTCCAATGATCTGTTGGAATTTCCATGGGTACCAATGGCGCCCCATTATTAGCAGACCTATTTTTGTATTCATAGCAGAAATTATTCAAATTTCTATTCGTGAAAAAAAGAAAACACTTGCTATGGCCTTCAACTCGACATTTCAATATATCGACGTATTGTCATTTACAATAGTTATTTCCATTCTTCTGTCGATTCGATATACATGTATCCCGGTGAGCTTGAGTTTAAGATATCACAGAGTCTGATATATCTGTTTCATATTTGGATATTTTACTTGAAAAGACGTTTATTGTAATCTAACAACTTAGCTCTATGATAAGCGTGATAAAGAATGGGTGGACTTAACTGGCCAGAAAAAATGCCGTAAATTTAACTTTCAGAAAATGTTAATTTTTTTCCCATCCTATAAACCCCCGATATCTGAACCGTGTATTTATGGTACGGATGTGAATTTTAAACGCTTTTTGTCGAGGTAAACTAAGTAAATATCGAAGGCATGGTGTCTGAAGATTTCTTGAATATCAATAGATAATCAGGGTCACACGTTTTTCATCGTCTGAATACATAGTCAGCACATGTTTGTCGGCTGTTCTTCAGAAAACTGTAGTGTTGTATATTGAACAAAATAATGTTATATTAAAAGGAGAAGAGCCGACAAATGTGTGCTCACACTTAATTTCACAAAAAAACATGTTCGAAAGAAACTTCTCGCTTTCATTGTTATGTCTTCGATTGACCTGTTTAATATTACAATTCATCACGTAATGTCCACCTGCGAGTGTACTCGTGAAAACAGCTACATTGTATACTTCAACCTGGCCTCGATCTAAATTATGTCTTTGAGCGCGTTTTGTTGCCGTTTTCAGAATATAACAAAATAAATATTGTTTTAATTTTCCGTGTCATCACATTTTTAAAATAATGACATCGCTGAAATGTGCTTAACACGCATTCGAATTACTGGAGAGAGAGAGGGATAGAGAGAGATGTCAACAATGACGCCGATCGATAGCCCCGCCTCCTATAAATATTTATTGTGTGACATAAAAACCACTCCGGATACATGTCGAATTCCGGAAGACGATACTCATGTATCGTTGCTTTAATCTTGATATATTACAACATGTCATTGTTTTTTCACAAATGTTTAACCTAATATAACCAGGTATATGTAGCTCTTTCTATTGCTCGTAATGTATTTTGGATTCACTTCATTTACAGCTTGGTAGAGGATTCGCAAAAAGATCCAAAATAGGGTGTTAAGTCCACCCATTCTTTAACTTTTCAATCGTAAAAGTCCCTCACTATTGCGGCGATATACATGCACTTCTTCACCTTCATACGGAGTTTATGTAACTAAGTTGATTCGATACGCACGAACGTGCTCTACTTCTATAAAATTTCTAAAATGAGGTAAATTATTGACAAACAGGTTGATGAAACAAGGATAAAATCATTATTTTGAAGTTCCTTTGGTCGATACAATAACCTTGTCAGTAAATACAGTTCATCAACGAGTCTAATGCCGACAGACGTTTTTCATACTAATTATTGGTCTATTACTTACACACTTAATTGACGGAATTTTCCGTTATTTCCCGATCATGTCAAGGAGCACAATGTGGATGTGACCGATCGATAGCAGATGCTCACTCCTCCATGTCACCTGATTCAACCTCATCATGTCCCAAAAGCACATTACAAGCCCTGACGTAACAGGGTGATTCCAGAAATTTGAGACAATTTTCATAAGTGAAGAAGTTAATATTGCTCTTTCTTCTTTCTCTGTCCAACATGGTTCAATGAGCTTTGTAATACATATGCTCTTTAATTTCAACGATAGTCACAAGTCAAAGTAAACAGATTATATTAAATTTAAGAAGTAAAATCAATTTTTTTATGCTTTGGTCATGACCGCAACGATATAAAAACATGCAATTTCTATTTCTCTATATATTGAAAAGAAATATTTTTTTAACCAATGAAAAGAAAATGAAAAGAAAATTAATATTCTGTAATATAATAGAAGTTGTAGAATTTTGGAATACGTTTCTATTCTGTGGAAGGCCAAATAAATCGCCAGATGTAAGAATATGCTATTTGTGTAATTACAAAATCAATTTTTGTTGTTGTAAAAAACAAATATTAATACGTTTTAGGAAGTAACAGGCATAAAATGAAGTAAATTATATCACGAAGGCTTATTTTTTTACTAATAATTAATAGCATGTAATTTTATTTGCACGAAAGACTGGTGCTGTGGTCATGACTAAAATTTTCGGTCATGACATCAAATTTTTGGTCATGACATTTCTTTATTATACATATAAAAATGTCAATGAATAATTCTAAAATAAAAACACCAAAACACCAATAAAAATAAAAATAAAAAACAATGTAACATCAAATAAATTAAACGGTCTAATTATGCATGATTTTTGTCTGTCAAGTCTAACTCTTAACGAAACACTAAAAAAATCAATTGTTTTATGCTTTATTAAATAAAAAATCAATTATAATGTCGATAGTTTAAAATATTTAATGATATATGTTGTTGTTTTAGCAAAATTAATAAATGATAAAAAGTTTGAGTTGAAAATAGTAACTATTGTCATGACCACAACATATTAAGTTGCGGTAAATGACAGTTTTGGTCATGACATAAATTGAGTTATTACCTGATCAGCTCTCCATACGTACTATATGGATGGTACAATGATGTACATTACATTGCAGAAACATTAAATAAAGCCGTTTGGAACAAGTTTACTATGTGAAATATTTGTATTATCGTGTTTTAGAACATTCGGTCATGATCAACCATAAAGGTACTAATAAAAAAAGATACTTACAACGGGATTTTTCTTCTAAACCTTTTGACCTACACTGTTCCTTGCCTGCCATCAAAACTTTTAGTAGTTTATAAGCCTTCTTTTATGGAGAGTAATAATTCAAAGGGCAGTAACTCTATTTTAAATAGCAGATTGCACAATCGTTTCGGTCATGACGAAATATTAAGTGACACAAAAATATACAACAAAATTTTAGTAGTATGATCAAAAAACCTACTGAATAAAAAAAGAAACATACTTAGGAGAAATGTATTAGAATAAATAAGACAAATAAAACTGAAAAACAAAAATTAGATGCGTCAAAAAACCCACAGAAAGTGGAAAGTCTATCATAGGGACATTGATATACGTCATTGATACATGATACAGTGACATTATTTTTCATTATTAAAATCAAACTTTAACATTTTTGCACATCAATACAAAAAAGAATATCTTTTTATTTAATATTTAGAACAAAATCAGGGAAATTTTGTTATATTTAACAGGAATATTAGAGTGTTTTTCATGAGTGACACAATTTGTCTCAAATTTGAGGAATCACCCAACAATAAAATAACTTTTTATCAATGTTTCGAGGCAGTGGTAATTAAAATCGAGCTTTTTGAGACGTACGTGAATTCATGACATCCACTTGTTTTTGCGGAGCAAACAGAAAAAAAAAGTTGCAGAAAAAGATACATTTCTTTCTCAGATTCAGCTCTGTATTTCCTTCAGCTCCGCATCTACTGCTTAACCAAAAGTGTCGCTAAATATCTTGTTTTTATATACAAAACAACCATAAATTCCTATAATTTAATTCACACTAAATTTCTCGAATCATCCTTCGCAAAAAAACAAAAAAAAAAAAATCAGATACGCTAAATTCAAAACATTAGAAGGAATCTAAATACTTTTTCTTCAAAAATGTTACAGGGGTATAATGAATATGAATACAGATTGTATATTGCTCCTTGAATCAGTATATTATTTATTCTGCATGGTATTTAACATCAAACGCATAAGTCTGAACAATGTTCTAAATATTTTCCGAATATTACTTTGATATTTACATATGTAACTGCTCTACTCAGTGTCTAATTTCTGGGTGAAAAAGTTCATTTCGTAAATGAAGCAATGGCTTTGGACTAAGAAGTTCGTAAACTCGAGACATGCTGATGCCACTTTCAACAAGGTATCTTTTAGGAATAATCTTGAGTTGTTCCTTGAATTTTTCAGAATAAGCAAATGATGGAAATCCTTCTTGTAGCATTAAAAACACCTTTGGCTTTTCTTTGTCTGAAAAAATAAGTCCAGGGCTGCCAGATGCTCCATGAGTTGTAGATTCTGAGCAATTAAGTTGTACTTTTCCATTTCCACTGAAGGCTGTTTCATACGTATTCTTAAATTCAATTTGATTTTCTCTAGGAAATTTATCATTCCACCATTTAACTGCATCATCAAAATGTGGCCAGGACTCTTTTGAGGGAATCAACCGACACTTTGAATCGATTATCTTTTCACCATTGTGCAACGATGGAAAACCAACGATATGAACTTGATTTGGTTTCTTATTTGAGCAATCCAAGATAAACTCTGGACATGAAAAATCTCCTCCATTCACTTCCAACAAAGCAACGTCGTCTGCTTTACTATAGAACGGAATATCTCCCTTAAGGGGACAAAACACACTCTGACCTTGTTCTCGCGTGCAACTAAAGTCCACGGAAATTAAGTCCTCATTCATTTTTGAAGCCTGTTCTAAAAAATCAAAAAGAAAAGTTTTTGCATAATATAATATAAATTAAAATAAAGGGACTTATGCTGCAAATATGTGTCATATTTATCAAGTACCTTTCGTTGTAAAGAATCCAGAGACATCCAAAGCTTCAATCAGGTCACTGAATAAAATACTATGACAAGACTTATTCATCCACATTTCAATCCCATTCCTTATTTCCACCTCCACGTCTACATCTGATCTTTCCACTTGCAGCTTTTTAAGTAATTTGGAATAGTTTCGCTTGCGAACAGGGTCACATTGTGCCAACTCTATCACTTTTTCTAAATAGTAATCTTACAAAAATAAAAAATATATAGTAGTTATAGTTCAAAAATATTTTATTTTTAAAGTATTTTCTTTACATCCTGTATCCTGTACATGTACATGTATATTTCAGATGAAAAAAAGTATACTGTCATATCGATGGGTTTTAAAGGACATATACACATAAGGTATAATAGGATCTTTTTCAGAGCTGCTCATATCTATAAAATATCATCAAGTGGTTCTTTAAATAAGGATTTCCAACCCTAATAGGACTAAATTCTTTACCACTAAATGTTCATCAAATACTTAGTATCCAGTGCGAAAGGCGTTGAAGCTCGCCTGAGCTAAAAAAAGGCTAGTAAATATTTCGCAAAATTTAACATGTTTTCTCTGATATCTTTACACCTGTATATAATTTGTTAAAAGATATATAATAAAAATTGTTTAGAATTAGATTTTCTTTCATTTGATTTGAAGAACAGGGGTCTGACCCCTCAAATGAAGGACAAAAAGGGGCCACAAGATTTTCGTCTATAACTCTTTATTTATAAATTTTTTGTTATGAATAACTGAAGCAAAAATTTCTATTGTACAATCTGCATCAATGCATTGTAAAAGTTTGATCATATGATGCGTAATTTGGAGCCGTTTGGGGCCGAAATGCTCAATCTTGGATTCTTTATATCTCAAAAGAGGGACATATTTTGATAAGCATTATTGAATAAAAGATGTTCAGAGACGTCTTCTCAACAATATACAACCATTCAATGTCCTAAAAACGGCCCATAAAGGACTTGAAGGGCTGGCCCCTATATATTTCTATTCGGCATAGCTCAAAAACTAAAAGAGGTTTGTGAATAGTTGTTGAACAAAAAATCTTTAAAATCATGAGCCTTATCATTTGATATGATGCAAAATTGGCTAACCCCTCAAATAAGGAGCCTGAAGGGGCCAAAACGTTTTATTGTATAACTTCTTAACTATCAAGATTTTGTTATACATTTCTGATACAAAAATTTTTATCTTAACAATCTGCAACAAGATATTGAGAAGGTATGATCATGCGTTAGGTAATAAGGGGTCATAAGGGGCCAATATGCTAAATCTTTGCTTCCTTCTATTTCCATGGGGAGAAATATTTTGATAAGCTGTATTAAATGAAAGATGTTCAGAATCGTATTCCAAACAATATACAACCATTCCATTAATTTCTGCAAAATGGTCCCATTAAGGACTTGTAGGGCTGGCCCCTATATATTTCTATTATGCATAGTTAAAAAAAACGAAAAGAAATCTCTGAATATTTCTTGAACAAAAATCTTTAAATTTACGAGCTTTATTTCAAATGTAGAAAAAAGGAATGACCCTTAAATAAGAAGTCCAGAGGGGCCAAGAGGCTTGCATCTATAACTCTTTGATAATATTATCTAAATCAAAAGAATTTCATTAAAAGAGAGAAGGCATGATATCATTATGTTTTAACAAAGATCATAGTCAAATTCATATCTCATCTTATCGAAAAGTCGGACGGAAGACCTAGACGTTGCTCGCAACCAGATCTCATCTAGTTATTTTTATAATTCTGAAGCCCTTCTCACTAAAGAAGAAATATTCGACCATCTAATAATTTTATGATTGAAAAATTCACCAAAATTTGGGGGAAAGTCGGAAAATGTTTGTTTCTAGTTCAATATTTTCTTAAAAATTTTTAATTTATTTTCTGCCATTTTTATGAATAATTTGTATTTATAAAAGTCTGCAGATCAATATCCTGGCTTAAATATTTTATGGTAGACCAACATTTTTTTTCTTATTCTCTTTCAATTGTAATCAATATCCTAACAAAATGATAAAAAAATTGATATAAAAAGTTTACAAACAATCCTAAAATATGTTAAGATTTTTATGGAGTCTTTAAAGTGATATTACTTTAGAAAAACAAGGAATTAGAAACCTTTTCCATACTAATAAAACGAGAAAAAACATTTAAACAGAAAATTACATTTATTGAACCAGGTCAAGAAAGGGTTGTCTCCTCTGATGTCTGCATGAACACTGTCCGAACAAATATAATAATTTCGTCAACTTTTATATTGATGCGGTATAACCTTAAGTTTGCTGCTTTTTTCCCCTTCAAACACCTTTCTTAAAAGCTTAATTCGGAGTTGCTAGTAATTTTTCCGGACTTCGTTCTGTGACATGGTACACGTTTACTATAATTACAAAATCCGGTTTTAAAGAATTAGACCCAAACACCGCAAATTCTGCAAAAACTGTTGTGTAACTCTTTTATGCGGAAGATAAGAACATTTTGTTGAGATGTGTATCCTTAACTCTAACTTTATCTTCTCTTATTTTCAAAAAATCAAATCATGCAAGCATATGTGAAACCGCACAACTTTGGCGAACGCTTTTTAAGGCGTTTACTGTGCGCACTTTTAGACGAAATTTAATGATTGTACTCACTTAACTATTAAAAATAATTATTTCCACAGCTGGATAGTAAAATGTAAAGCATTGATCCATTCGTACGTTTCTAACATATAAAGAACCAGTCTAAGGCTGTTGTTAAAGATTTTTTTTTGAAATATAATGAGTCTTTTGTCTTATAAAACAATCCATAAAGGCTTTGATTTGAATTCCGAACTTCATGAAACTAGTTAAACCTTATGATTTAGATATTAATTTATGATCTGCATTGCAATATCTGCTTTTTATGAATCTTTGTTTTTGCTCATTTTAATGTGGGCCTTAAGTTCACTTGTTCTTTAATTGGTTTAGTAAAAAAAATGTTAATTGAAACTTCAGAAGTATTTTGAACGCTTGAGACATTTTTCACTCAATGATGAGATTTTGGATTTAAATGAAGCATGTCAAATGCTACTTAACTTACCGACCGTGTCCCTAATGACGTGATATGCCGTCATCAGGTACCGCTTTCCGACTCTGAATGCCGTCCCATTCCTAGTGCCGTTTATGGTCCTGCACGTTAAATTGCCGATGCTTTGATGCCATTTTTGTAAGTAAAATACTTCCTGCTCTTTTACTCTTAAACAATCATCATCTTCTTTTCTAAATAGCGCTATGTAATAAAAGGGTTTTAATTTTCATTTTTTTTATTGTCTACAATTATTCTTTACAAACGAATCTTTCATTTTCTGAATTACATCGATCAGCATATCCAATACAGTTCTTGTTACTTATCTTTTACATAATTAATAAAAATTCCTTCCATAATTTTCTGCAGTAATTTATTCCTTAGAGAAATAGAATGGATGTTTTCTTATAACTTTTAAAGAATAAATATGAGTGTCTGGAAAATCCTTTTGCGGAATACATTAAAATTCATTCTGAAAGATAGACACGAAGGTTGTTCCAATATACATTAGCTGTCAAATGTCAAAATAGGTTTAGAAATATATGTTATTTTTCACAATACCTTGGTATTCTTCTCTTTTCTGGTTTTCTTGGCCATCTTTAACTTCCGTAGAATCCTTCATTTTTCCTACAAAGCAGAAGACATTATTTTCAGAAATGAGAATCCCTTGAAATATTTTTAAATGAAATTTGTCTAATCTATCGCAAAATTTCAAACAACATGTTGTATTTCAAAGGAATCATCAGAAGACACACACACACACCCTCCCCCATATGCGTGTGAAGGTGCATAACTTCTCTATATCTGTGACTTCACAATAAATGTGAAAATATATGTTGCGTAAAATAATACATCAAATGAAAACATTCTGAACTAATGTTTGGGAATGCATACCATATTTCCAAAAGCGAAGCAGATCATTTTCTTTGATTTCATGATGATTTTTGAACCCATGATTGGGACAACTGAATTCTCCTCTACCAACCAACTCTTTCTCTGAAATGAAGCATAAGGGATCTTCCTCAGTTACGTCTTGCTTTGAACACTGATAACCGATCTCATACAGTGTTTTCTTGTGGAAGTTTTTCGTCATCTGTTTAAGGACATCTTCCATCGTTTTCTTTATTTTCATAGTAATTTCTCCACTGAGCTGCTTATTTCCTTGTCTAAATATTTGAACCTGTATTGTTGATGTAGTAACAGCTACACCTATCGTGTGTTCTTTAAACGTAAATAAAGCGATGTTTTTAAACAAACACTTCTGTCCATTGTCTTCGATAACAGTCCATTTTGTGCTGACTATACAGGCTACTATGAGACGGAAATAAAAGAAATATGGCAGGAACCGGAAATTGAAAACTAAAACACATGTTTTTTGTTCTAATTGCATAACATAACTTTTTAGATGCTCTCCAAAGTCTAATTTGTTCATACATGGAACATAGTGTGCATCTTCACCTACAGCAAGCAAACCAAGGCGTTGCATGTACTTCAACGTAGAATTGCATTTTCTTGCGTCCATTTTTTTCTTTTTCCAAATTCCCTTCAATAATCCCTCAGATAGATAACCGCTTTCAAAAAAGTGTTTCCAATCTTTGTCATTCTCAACAAGATCCCTGGCATGCTTTGGATCTGTTATAATATACTTGAAACAGTCTACAAACCATTGCACATCTGTTATTGTCCTATCTTTCAAGTTATCTTCGTTGTAATATAAAATTACCCCAATGTCATGATAAAACTGGAGCACATCAAATGTCTCCTTTTCTTTTCCAATTTTTTTAATTGAAACTTGTTTTCGAAAGTCTGTAAGTGAGAGGCATTTTTTTCCTTTTTGCTTGTTTTCTCTTAAAACTACTTCACATAATGCCCACTCTTTCGGAATGCTCTCTCTCCAACGATCTTCCAAAGCGATCGAAACGATACATTCTACTACATTTGTAAGTTTATCTAAATGCTCGTTATCATCCTTAGGAAACCCAATGTGGAAGCAGCGTTCTCGGTCAAGATGTTTCTTCAGATCAGGCTCATGCTTCAGAAGCTCCAGCAAGTCATCATAAATTGATCTGTTAACCTAGAAAAAAGATAAATGTCCACCATTAAATTATGCCCTCCACAATCAACGTTTTGAAGTAGATACAAGTACTAAGAAATCAAACAATTATTTTGAGACTGATAATATCTAAAAAGCTATAAAATATCGGAATAAATAGATCTGTTAACCTATGAAAAGATAAATGTCCACTCAGCTAGTTTTGCTCTTCACACTCAATTTTTTGTATTTATTTTAAAATATTTTATCATTGACAGGTACCATATTTTGCACTTCATCAGAATGAGTTGCTATGGTAACAACTGGAGTGTCATCTTCGCAGTAGGTGTGGATAGATTTCAACCAAAAAATGACATATTCTAAATAAAAAATATTTGATAATCAATTAATGGATGATAAATACACAATGAACTTCAGTTTCAACTCGTCATAAATATTTTTTTTTTTGTTTGTATGTTGTTTAACCTCACTTTCGAGGATTATTAAATCACATGGACACGTCACCCGCGCAAGTGGAGAGCTGCAAATTCTATCCTATACTTGGCACTTACGGTCCTTGAGCAGTAAGAGATCGTTTTTCTCGTAAACACCTATTGTGACACAGGATCCCCATATATATGGTCTGTAGATCTTTACTTTGATTGAATAAGTTTTAAAAATGCTTACAAAGGTTTGTTTGAATGTGAATATAAAATTATTACTGATATCAAACTCGAGCGACATTCGATGGCATACAATAAAAATGTATGCAAATTTTGTGGAGATTTATTTACAATCTTTCACATCTGGTTACAAATATATTGTCTGATCCTGATTGGATGTGTAGAGATTGCCCGGTCCGTCTCTAATAAAAATGAACTGGTCACTGACAATCAGACAAATGCAAATATTCAACTTAAAGACACAATGTAACCTTAATTACGATTTTCGTTTTCACTTTTTAAAAATAATTTGTTAACATGACTTATAATGACTTATAGTGATATCAAAACATTAATGAAAATCTTTGGCCTACAAAAAAATTACTAAATTGTACGCACACAATGACATGCACAAAAACACTTACGTCCAAATGTCCAGTCTGCAAACATGGTTCCTTCCTGTTCACACAATGCTTGATCAACTTTTTCATCAAACTTTTTTGACATATCGATCACAAGAAGATAAAAAGCTCTTCTGCTAAGATAGACCTGATGACAGGCGTAATACGCACACTGTCCAGCAAAATCCACAACACTTAGTAGGCACTTATTTTCTGTATCAACATCTTCCTCAAGACCTAAAGATTAGAATCTGAAGCACATCATTTCATACAAAATATCCATATTTTGATCATAATATCTTTACTTTAAAACGATTTACAAACCTTTTAAACATTTACGATCCCTGTCTATATCAAATAAGTTTTCATACACCTCCAGTCCTACGGTCGACTGTATTTGTCGTAACTCTTGAATATCTCGCTGCTGTAGTCGCTTTAAAAGAGTAGTTTTTCCAGCTCCCGCACAACCAACAATCATTGCACGAGCTCTATGCATTGTTTGGGTTCCTTTCTTAGCACATGCTATGTATCTGCATCGAGCATCATAGTCCCATTTTAGCACTTCTCTTGGTATATGTACTGTTTAGAAAATAATCAAGTACAGTAAGAAAGGCTAACAAAAATATTTCGATTCTTTCAGTTTTTTTGCAAATAAGTGTTAACATATGGTATTGTGTTTTTCATTATTTTTTTTATTTCTACCACAAGAAAAGTATACTCAGAATTCCATTACTGATTCCTCTATTACAGTCAGTGTTACGTTAAAGTCAATGCATTGATTAAGCTGAATTCACGTGAACTTGCGCCTAAACTTCACTTTATAAGATACCTGACATGTTACGATATCAACCTGTAATTAAGGTTCATAAGCCCTCTGCTAACTAATATATAAAATGTTGCTTGCAATTGAACCTTGATGATTTTCCAAAAGAAATGTATTTTATAAGTAAAAAAAACAAACAATTGTAGCATAGCTTGCGGGGCAAAATTGAACTAAGACACTTCAGCTTGACAAATCTATGAAGGAATAATAGACATTTCTGTCATTAAGAGTTGTCTCTCCTATCAGAGTATCAATGAGCCTCAATATGTTAACCTCATCTTATTCTGTTCAGTCCACTTCCATATAAAATAATCTTATTTATCCAGACGTTTTAACTAGCTCATATGTTCCCTGGAGTTCGAAAACAGACATGTACCTGTAGTTAATTACAAACACCAGCAATCTTTACTCTTTTACCGACCAACTTGACCACTGGCACAAAAACAAAGGCATGCTTGTTTTCATACATAGCCGTCGTACCTAAGGTTCATTAATCCTCTACTCACTCTAATAAAATGTTTTTCTTTTATTATCTATGGCTTTCAAAAAGAAATGGGCCTATATCTTATAAGTAAAATAAAAGATACCACAGAGTCTGACACATCTGTTTCATTAACTGGATATTTTACTTGAAAAGACTTTAATGGTATTCTAAAAACCAAGCTCTTTGATAAATTAAATGACTTTCCCATAGTTAACTTTCCTTACTTATGCAGCAATATACCTGCATCACCTGCATACAAAGTTTATGCATCTCATTTAATTCGACACGCAAGGGTATGAACAATTTCTTTAAGGGGGACCTTTGTCCGAAAAGTATTTGTGTGAAATTTCCAAAACTTTGTAATATCTTTCATGACCACTTGCTCTTAATTTTTAGGCATTTAAAACAATACCTTTATATGCTTATTTTTACACAGGAGCACGTGCAAAAACTGTGTAAAATGCTAAAAATAGATTATTTTAACATATTATTGTTCTACCTCAAATATGCGCTAAAAAGAATCAAAAATATCAAATTACATTCTAAATCAACATGTATTTAAATTATTTGACTTGTATCTTTAAAATGAAGTTAAAATCATTGTAATTCATATCGCGTGAAAAATTATAATGGAGCACAATGTAAATATTACCCCCATTTTTCTTGTCGTATTTTTTGCAATTTCGACATGCATAAAAGGTAATATCTTAGAAAATCTTTGTGTGAAAATGTTGTATTTCATACGTTTTGAAAGAAATGAATTAACTCTTTATTTTGATAAAGAAAAAAGTATACCTTTATGATAAAATAAATAATAAATGTGAAGTTTTCTTTTATTTTCGTACTCTTGTGTCATAAATATTGACCTTTCTGCACTACGACAAGTGTAAGTAAGCACTGGCAAATATCTGAATATAAATTTATTTTGTGGAAAACAAGTATTTTGTTTTGATTAGTAACAATTTACACTGATTTTAATCTTTTCTTTTTGATCCCAATCATTATGTCCCCCCACCTCTTCCCCGTCAACAACCAACTCCTATAAGAATTATCCTAGGAATGACTTTATACAATTAAATGTACTAACCAATAAGCAAATATAGGTACAAGTTAATTTTTAAAAATTTTTTCCCCTAGTTTTATCGAGAAAATACAATTAATGGTAACCATAAAATTAAACATATTTCCCTGATTTAAGCCGCTTTCTTTGCTGAATTTTATCTTATCTTTTTTATATTTTATATCAGCATATTATCGAGGTATTTTTTTCACAACTGAACTTGCTATGAATTATCAACCAAAGGAAGAGATTTCTAATATTAACAAACTCCATTAATCAAATAAAGCTGCCATTAAAGATGCATAAATTTTCTTTTTGTAAATTGTCTACGCTATTGATTATTAACAATGGTAATTTTATTCCGTTGTTATTTTACCACTGAAATTAAGATGTATTTTCCGTTATTTCCCGATCATGACAAGGAGCACACGCCGGGTGTGACCGGTCGGTAGAGGATGCTCACTCCTCCATGGCATCTGATCCCTACTCTTATATCTCGGTGGTCCGTGTTTGCTGAGCTCCTATTTTGTATGGTTTATTGGATTTTGAGCTGGAATACTGTTCGTTATCTCCGTGTATTTCATTTTTAAATAATAAATTAGAACAATATCTTAAAGAATGAAGTGGAACATTTACAGCGTCATTTGGAACTTCTGTATTTTTGGTTCACTGGGGGATCAAAGTTTAGGGAAAATCTTTGAACTTCTTCTCAAGAACATCAAAGACATGATTGGTCATAGTTATATGGAAGCATCTTCTGGTAATGAAGATTCAAGTTTGTTCAAATCATGACCTCTTGGGCAAGGGTTGGGCCATTATGGTGACCAAAGGAGAAATACATAGAGACAAATCTCTAAATAAAAAAATCCTCTTCTTGAGGACAGCAAAGTTGTGATTGTTCAAAGTCATATGAAAGCATCCTCTGGTACACTCAACTTTCTTCAAATCAAGGCCCCGTAGTTAGTGTGGTTCCAAAATGGCGTCTCTGAGTTTTACATAGGAATACGCGTTCCCTTGGAAAAAATCGTTAATATTCTTCACAAAGCCATGATTGATCATCAATTTAAAAACATCATTAAAGTGAATCATGACAGTAAACAGCAAAATCATTACAGTGTATGTGTCATATTAATTCAAAAGCATTCTCAGGAAGTGTAGATTTTAGGGGTATTTTTTTCAAATACCCCACTTCCTGGTAATTAACCACTTTGGTAATATTTTTAAACTTTTCAATACTAAATATATTGTTGTTATTACCTATGTAGCTAGTTGCTCAGGTGAGCGAAGTGGCCCCTGAGCCTTTTGTTTTAATTTTCAAATTAGAAAACCAGCAGTAGGTAGTTTTATTCGAATTTCCTAATCTTCTATTTGAGATATACTAATTTCTCCTCATAATATGGCTACCTTTGAAGATGACGTTTTAAGTAACACCTTGGGTAAATATACGTATCGAAATTAGGGGTACATGTATCTTGGCGGGTATTTTCAATTAAACAATGTCTTATTTTCAAAACCTTAGGATCGGACTGACTTTAGTAGTTTAAAAGGCCTGGTTTTTTAAAAACATTTTGTTTAATTATCCATGGATGAAAAAATGCGATTGTTAAAAAAAGAAATTTCTGAGGAAAAAGTATTGAACTTTATGACCTTTTACCTTTATTGTTTTTTCTTTTTTGCTTGTTTGAATATTATATTGCTTACTTTTTTTACCTGCATAAAGATAAAATAATTTTTATTAAAAACCTCAGATAAAATAACTCAGGAATATCCATTCAAAAAATTTGGTAAATGCTGTGCGCCGTTTGGCTCTGTTATTATGCTAATATTATACGGTATAAAGGCAGAAAAATGAATTTAATGTTTGGTGATTTACGTAGTATTGATGCACATGTAAAACTCTGTGATAAACTTACGTTTTGAAGATATTTTATATTTAAAATTGTAAATGTCAGCTGCAAACTTGATGGCGTCTATACCAAGTCTTTCTATGAATGACTTTTCCGTGCCTTCTGGTAGGTACACACAGCGTTCTTTCAGACTCCTCTTGTACGACCATGGGCGCGCATATTCAAATATTGAGTCTACTGAGGAAAGATTTAGGTAGTTTTCATAATCCCTCTCACTTTCTAAGCAATTTAAAACAAAGTAGCCCATCACCTGATGTCGGATCTCCTCTGATACAAAGTACACTTTGTTATTCTCTTTATCTACAGTTATCAATTTATCACAATGACCCAATTCCTTTAGGAGTACGAAATTTTCTTCTGTATTTCCCTCCTTACCATCTTCTATTGCTTTAAACGTTTGTTGAATAATTTTTCGTTTCTCCTCCCAAGGTATACTTACACGAACGGAATAGTTCTCTGACATAAGTATGGATATCAAAATGCTCCATTTTTTCTCTGACAGCTGCATTTCAATTAATTCTACAAAAAAATGGGATAAAAAGACAAATATAAAATATTACATTGTAAAACATAAAATATTTGTGGACCGAGTTAAAAAAAGCCTAAAAAAATTCTTTCAGCTCTAAATTCTGTTTAGTATACTGAAACAAATTGTTCGTTTCTTTGTTTTGGGATAAGTTTGAAAAAAATTGTAAGGGTCACCTGATAAAAAGTGCGCTATCTAAAATGACAAGACTTAGCAAGGAATAACAGGAATTGGTACACTTAAAAAATGTTCTAATACAAATCTATCTGAAAAAACGGATAACATATCTAGTGTTTTGCTGAGCGGGCATAAAAAATCAATATTTGACCGCTGAATGAAATGTTGGACCGCTTACGACACAGAACGGGCGAAGCTTAATCTCATTTTCAGTCTTTGGTGTTCAACAGGACGGACTTGAGGTTACGTCACGGAAGAAAGTACAAAATACATGTATTTAAAAAAATTAAATTGAAAGGTAAAACAAAACATTTATTGATTGAGTTCTCGGGCAAAATGTGTTTTGTCGACCCTCGAACCAAACTGTCTGCCTTCGGCCATTAGACAGTTTGGTTCTTTGGTCCGAAAAAACGCATGTTGCCCTCGAACTCAGTCAATAAATTAAATTGTTATTTATATATTTACATGTATCACCCGTGTGTTTCACAGAGATTACTATTGGGCAAAATAGTAAAATAGAGAAAATTAGAATAATATTCATTTATTGAATTTCCAAATGAGTTTACTTCTAAACCCATTCACAAATGCTCGTTTTTACCTCAGAAAAATTTACTTTTATTTGGGAGATAAACAATAAAGAAACAACGACTAAACGATGAATCGCTGCATGTGAAAAGAAAACGAATGTGTGCTTGGCAAAATCATCATTAGTCATGTATACTGCTTTAGGTTTTTTTTAAGAAATAACTAAAAGAGGCTTTTAGATTAACATGTTTAAAACAATTATCAGCAGTGAAGCCATCTGACAATACATTGTAAATATGTAAAACGTAGTTCATTATATTCATAGATAATACTGACCATTCTTGAGTCCTGAAAGGATGGTAGAAGCTGAATAAAAGTTTTTAATTTTTTCATCAGGTATTTGGTCCGACAATGGGTTTGTATTTCTTGCTTTGCACCAAAATTTTCCAAACATCCCAAACACTTCCTCGTCATCCAAGAAAAAATCAGGAAGTTTGGCTTCATATTAAATAGAAAAGCACATTATGTGTTAGTACCATTGTTAATTAAAGTAGGATATTTCGAACAAAAAAACTGGAACAGCTGTTGAATGGATGTAATATTTAGGGGTGTCTTTTCTGCAGATTATACGATTTTGCAATTCTCCGATTTTTTCTTGAACGAAATACAGGCCCGGAAATCTTACTTGAGTGGCATAGGACTCCTCCCCAATAAATGTATATGAATGAACCAGAAAGTACTGTATTGGGTAAAACCATATAACCAAAATTGTGAATATCTTATTTAGCTTCTAAGACTCATTTCAAATACTCCATGGCCAGAAATTATGTCTAGCAAAATTCAAAATTAGTTAAAATACACATTGAAGGCCATGGTATAGATTTATTCCTGATATATCTCTACTTCAAAGAACTTCTCAAAAACCACACGCAAGAGGTTAATTTTTAAGTGCAAAAATAGTGCCGTATTAATTGCCCTGAAGTTCTGAAAAGAAAGTTAGCGACAGAAAATGTTTTTTGGTAGAATCTTGATCGTTTATTGTGTTCACTAATATTATATTTATATTGATTTATAAAAAGGCTCATTCTTAACCCTTTAACGGCCAGAGATTTTGCAATTTTTCTTCATAAGTGCCTAAAAAGTTCAAAAGGCGCACTTGGCCGTTAAGGGGTTAAGGGTGTTAAGAAAGTTCGTTCCACATTTTTCTTTAATTTTCAAAAAGAAATCCGATGAGAAGATATTTACAATTTGTGATATTTCATGTTTACAGAGTCCATTCTTGCTACTAATAAGGTTTTAAGGTAGGATTCTTCTCACATTAATTGTATTTAAAAATTAATGAAATTTTCACAGAATCAAGAGGACAATATCACTAAGTAATGGTATCAGTGAGATTAAATTTGACCGTTTAATATTAGAGGCAAGGTCAGATCTAGGTCATTACCTTTTTCCTGGATTATGAATAAAAAATTACTGTTTCCAATCATGCGATCCCTACTTGTAATTCAAAAGATTGAATGTTTTTCTTTTACCATATAGGGCCTGTAATCATTTGGTAATAATCCATATTACCAAATGGACATGGATACTTTAAATAAAATGGATATTTGCTAATCCGATTTTCCTATACTTTTCTTAAATTTTTAGGATTTATTAGTTATTTTTATATGCTTCCTATATTTAACTTTTTCTAATTTTCACATATAGTAACGTTGTCACATTAAGGTACAAAATGATACAAAAACGAAAAGTTTTGATCGTTTACTAAGAGAGAAATATGGTAATTTAACTTACATTTGAAAATTTCGTCTAGTGTTTGATTGCGTAAAAATTATAACTAAATTCAATGTTCTATACTAATTTTGAGAGGCTGAAAAGAAGATATTTTCATACGCCACCATTCCGCCAAAAATATAGTCCTTGCTGGTTTTCAAACGCAGTTTACAAGAAGAAGGTATGGTTTCCATATAAATTTTGCCCTGTGATTTTCTAAAAAATGAAACTGGTGTAAAAGTTGACAACTCATGCTTTTTAAATAATTGAAATTCAATGCAGAAAAATCATACAAGTCATTTTTCTCACATGTGTTTTTGAATGCTAATTATGACGTCATAAACATGTGCATTTTACCGTATTTTCTTAAAAAGTTGCAGAAGACACCAATTTTCAATGAAATTTTCTTTCAGATAACATTGTCCACAGGCATCGCCCACAAAGATCTTGAGATATGTGATTTGTTATTGAATTTTGCACAAAATATCAAAAAATTAACGTGGGCGACAGCTGTGGACACTGTTTTTTAAAGGAAAATTACCCTTGAAATGTGCCATTTTGGTGCTTTTTCTGTTGAAAATAGAGAAATGCTTTTTATTAATGGCGTCATATTTGCAGAATGGTAAACCTTCATGCCATATTCTTTCCTGATTTATCAGAGTCATTTATTTAAATAATATGTAAGCCAGTTTCAAAACTTTTTGATGTCATTACATTTTTAGGGCGCAATAAAGCTAAAACCATACCTTCTTCTTTCTTTTAAAAGTTGTATAATTGTGAAGAGGAAAGAAAAATATGGTTTTTTAAATCTCCTACATCTAAATATATTCGACATATAAACAAATATACTTTGAATATTCCATCTAGTCAGAAACCAGAGAAGAATCCTACCTTAATTGTCTTTTGTTGAATTAATAAGGGGCGGGCAGGTATTAAAAACAGATGATATCTGTTCAGAAAAATTAAGAATGACGCATATTTGTGACATATATATTAAGCAGACAGGTCAAATCTTCCTTTCAAATATTATGTAAAAATCATCAAATCTGTGAAAAATTTTAAAATGACAAACCTATTCTATTGAAAAGTGATCTAAGGATATAAGTGATTCTTATACCTACATTCGTCTGCTATTCTGATGCAAGATAAGCTATGAAGAAATAACAAGAAATTATCCTTTAAATGCACTCAAAATTAACAGCATTTCTGTCAATTCGGTGCCTTAAAGATGTTTTATGTATTTTCATATGGAAGAAAAATCCTATAAGTTCCTGCTAGAAATGAATTGTTATAAATCTAGAGCGCACTCTTGTGTTTTTTTTCAGACTTGAAAATTCATCTCTTTATTTAAGCACTACTTTGAAATTTCTGAAAATATTTCATCCTGGAACAAACTTTCTTAACACCCCTTATATTTGAAAGTCTAGTTGTGAATCATTTTTTCTTTAATCAGAACAAAACTGCAGGCGAGTATTTTGTTTGACTGTCTCAAAATTTTTCATTTGCATCAGGTATTAATAGGCATAGTAATATTCATATAGTATTCCGAATCAAAATCTGAAATGAAGTATTATGTTGCCCAATTAAGTCTATCACGAGGGTTACATTTACTACATGTTTATGTAATACAAGATCAAAACTGTATAAGTTGAAGCGTTTTGAAAGAATTCTGTAGAAATTTCTTTAATCATAAAACTTTGTGGCCTTCGCTCGTTACATTAAACATTAAAAAAAAGATTCGTTTATTGTAGTGAAGTTTAATAGTAAATGTTTATACAGTTTATTTAAATCTTACAAACACTGTAGGAGGAGCAGCATTTGAAATATTATTCACACATAAGAAAGAGGGACCCCCTACCACGCATATTTGAACAACGAAACTCAACGTTGCTTATGATTATGTTCTTCGTGTATAAAATTGTACATAATAATAATTCATGTACATATCAGATGTATATGGAATCAACTTTTGATTAACGTTGAAAGGAAATGATATTGCATTTTTTGTTCTAGAAAATTAAATATTTAAAAAAAATAAATTAAAATTATATAACGAGGATATTATTTATCAACCAAACATGTATGTACATATACCTATTACAGAGTAAGGTAACCTGCGTCCGTGTCCCTCCACAATCAGTCTTGTCGTTGTTATAGGACCGATGTCTTCTGATTCTATGGAACTATCTCCACGACGACAGTACTCCCAAACATATGTTTCTATGGATTGATCTGAGGCTACCTGTATGAAGAAGTCCTTGTCTATCTCACTCAGCAGGCAGTTTTCTCTGTAGGATTTCATTATCAGAAATCTTTTTTCATATGCAATCCGCTTTTCTTTGTGATCACTGTAAGACTTCACCAGTCCTTTGTTCTTCAGCTCCTTCAGTATCTTCCAGACATCAATGTCACCCATAGAGACGTCGCCATCTTTTATGATAGAATTGTAGTCACCCATACATAGGAACATTGTGTAGAGAACGACACACTGATCTTTTGTTAAATCTGATAACGGATCTGTTGGGTACATAAAACAAATTCATTTTGATAAGGTTGTAATGATACATAGTGTCATAAATTGCAAACGTTGTAAACTACATTGTAAATAAAAAGCAGTGTACTTTAAATGCTTACAATTTAGAACGTGTTCTACTTTATCACCGAAAGAGTTTGAACATATCTATATTCAAATGTAAATAGTTCACATAGAATATCAAAGAATTAACAAAATATACAAATACACATGTTCATTTCAGTGATTTAGTCAATCAAGGTATTGATATCTCGATTCCGTATATTAAAAGACGTTATTTGAATTTGATATTTTGTCTATCGCTATAAACTTTATTGAGCAGCTAAAACGTACAACTGTATTTGTATGAAAGACTCAAACATCCATTGATATCTTTACTTCTGCATTTACCTTTTTTGTTTCCGGAATCCAGACTTCCACTTTCATCCCCAGACAAATCCT